AGAAAAACTATTCTAGAGTGAAGATCTTCAAGCATCCTCGTTGTCTTTGGTCCCTCTGCAGAAGTGATAATGTGGTTAGCAGAAGGGGAGGGACCTCCTCTGGGGAAAAAAAACTTCCCATTTAAATATTTTCCATCTATTCTTGCTTTAGTTCTTCAAAATTTGGGTAAAATACATTGAGTGTTCGGTGAGGGCTATAATAAGGTGATTTTTATGTTTTTTAAGAGTGAATTGGGCAAAAAAAACCTGACAAGAATAAAAAATGTAGAGTAACTCTAAGTTAGAAAATAACACAAAGCCTACAACCAAAACATTTTTTAAGCAAGTTTCTCTTAATGGCATAGTCTACCTTTTGCAAAAAATACTTGGTCTTGTACGCGCATTAATAAAATACAAAAGTACATTTAATACATTTGTGCATTTGAAGCCTACAGTGCAATGCACCCACTATCAGTACATTGTAGGTGCAATGCACAGACTCCTGCACTGTTTACCAGCCCCAGGTCCAGGACAGTAGAATTACAAGACTACCATTATGGAGTTGGAGGAAATAATCACAGGGCTACAAGTGAACTTGTGAAATATTAAAAAAAAAAATTGCAGCACTATTGATAATTATAAAAAAAAATAGTGATGTGTAATCGAAAAAAAAAAAAAAAAACCAATACGTGTCTGCTCAATGTTTAAGTGTTACAAACAAAGCAATCTTCAAACTGTGGTTTGCTTTATCATCTCTGCTTAATATATAAAAAATGAAAACAATACAGTGAAGAGTCAAAGTTAATCATTTTATTTATTTATATATATATAAACACACTATATTGCAAAAAGTATAGTGACTAGGGATGTCCCGAAATTTCGGTGGCCAAAAAAACCCTGCCCCTCGCCGCCACTGGCCGCCCGCTCGGTAGTTCTCAGCCTTACCCAAGAAACCATTGAATGATCCTGGCGCTGGGCATAGAGATGAGTGATGGAAAGATGGCCTCCACTCATCTCTCTGCCCTTGGAGGACCAGAGCGATGTCACTTCTGATTACGGCATTTTTTTTTTAAAGCACTAGATCAGTGCTTTTTTTGATCTCATGCTTTACATTGCAGAGGAGAGATGTGGGGTCCTATTGACCCCATATCTCTCCATAAAAAGGACCTGTCACTAAAAAGTTTAAAGTGCCCCCGTCCCGCCCATGCTAGCAAGTAGTGCTGAACGCATACGTAAGCCATGCCCACATATGTAAATGGTGTTCAAACCACACACGTGAGGTATCGCCATGAACGTCTGAGCAAGAGAAATAATTCTCGCACTAGACCTCCTCTGTAACTTTACCTTGCTAACCTGTAGAAATTTTTAAAGTATCACCCAAGGAGATTTTTAAGTACCCCAGTTTCATGCCATTCCATGAGCGTGTGCAATTTTAAAGTCTAATATGTTGGGTATCTATTTACTCTCCGTAACATCCTCTTTCATATTCTATATGTTTTTTTAATCAAAGTGTATTTTCCAAAACATTTTCAGTTTCGGCACCAGAATTTTCATTTCGGTGCACCACTAATTGTGACATCTGCCTTTACACGCACATGAACTGCAATGGCATCCCAGTCTTAGTTTGTAAGATTCAATATTGAGTTGGCCTACTCTTTGCAGCTATAACAGCATCAGCTCTTCTGGGAAGGCTGTCCACAAGGTTTAGGAGGGTGTCTATGGGAATGTTTGACTATTCTTCCAGAAGCACATTTGTGAAGTCAGATACTGATGTCCAACAAGAAGGCCTAGCTCTCAGTCTCTTCTCTAATTCATCCCAAAGGTGTTCTATCAGGTTGAGGTCAGGACTGTGCAGGCCAGTCAAGTTCCTCCACCCCAAACTCGCTCATCCATGTCTTTATGGACCTTGCTTTGTGCACTGGTGTGCAGTCATGTTGGAACAGGAAGGGGCCATCCCCAAACAGACACAAACTTAGGAGCATGGAGTTGTCTAAAATGTCTTTGTATGCTGATGCCTTAAGAGTTCCCTTCACTGGAACTAAGGGGCCAAGCCCAGCCCTTGAAAATCAATCCCACACCATAATCCACTAATCTTGTTCCTCACAGTCTGAGAGGAGAGCCCTTTAGGTGCTTTTTTGCAAACTCCAAGCGGGCTTTCATGTGGAGAGGCTTCCATCTAGCCACTCTGCCATAAAGCCCAGATCAGTGGGGGGCTGCAATGATGGTTGTCCTTCTGGATCCACACAGGATCTCTGGAGTTCAGTCAGAGTGATTATTGGGTTCTTGGTCACCTCTCTTACTAAGGCCCTTCTCCCCCAATTCAGTTTGCTTGGGCGACCAGCTCTTAGAAGAGTCCTGGTTGTGGCAAGCTTCTTACATTTGAGAATTATGGAGGCCACTGTGCTCTTGGGAACATTCAATGCAGCAGAATTTTTTTGTAGCCTTTCCCAGATCTGTGCCTTGCAATAATTTTGTCACTGAGCTTTGCAGGCAGTTCTTTTGACTTAATGGCTTTTGCTCTGATACAGTATGCATTGTCAGCTGTGAGGCCTTTTATAGAGAGGTGTGCGCCTTTCCAAATCATGTCCAATCAATTTATTTTACCACAGCTAGACTCCAATCAAGGTGCAGAAACATCGCAGCAACGGGGGGCACTTGAGCTATATTTCAAATGCAAAGGGTCTAAATACTTATGCCAATGTGATATTTCAGTTTTCCTTTTTCATACAATTGCAAACATGTCTAAGGCTACGTTCACACTAGCATTGCATGCAGGCGGCAGAGAGGCATTTGGGAAGCATTTTTAACCGCTTCCCAAACACCTCGGACAATTCTGCACATTGCAGCACATGGTGCTGTTCTAACGTTCGTGTCGCTTCGCATTGCGGCAAAACGGATGCCTCTGGTCGAGTCAGGAGGCATTGAAGCCTCCTATTCTAATCTATGGTGCCGCTCCGCAAACGCTGGCCAGTTGCGATGCGGTTGCGGGGCATTTGCGGAGCGGTAACACCATTTAAACCTCATTATAGGCGTTTGTGGGGCATTTTTAATGCTCGGCAAACGCCTAGCAACCGCCGCTAAACCGCGCATGCTGCATTTGGAGAACGTTTGCCGAATGTTAAAAAACACTCCGCAAACGCCGGACCAACGCTTGCCAAACGCTATAGGGGCGTTTGGTAAAACAGTCAAGTGTGAACGAGCCCTAACATTGTATTTTCACTTTGTCATTATGGGGTACTGAGTGCAGATTAATGAGGAAAAAAAATGAATTTAAACAACTGTGGTATCCGGCTGTAATGTCACAGAATTTAATACTTTATGAATGCACTAAACTATATATGCAAACTATCCTCCCCACTCCTCCCAAGACTTCCTTCTATCTAGCTCTCTTGTCATCTCCTCCCATGCTCATTTCCAGGACCTTTCTACCTTTAGGCGATCCCTGAAAATTCATCTCTTCAGAGAAACCTATCCCACCTCCACCAAACAACTGAACCTTTAATTCATCCATTAGCTCATACCTCACAGTTATCTTTTGTAACACTTGTTGCACCTCATTAGATTGTAAGCTCTTATGTGCAGGGCACTCTTAACCCTATTGTGTCTTAGTGTATTGTAATTATACTTTCTGCCTTTCGATTGTAAAGCACTGCTCAAACTGTTGGTGCTATATAAATCCTGCATAATAATAATATATGCCCATTAGAAAGTTTAGAAACCTTTCCATGAATAAATCATGCGTATTTCCTCCAGCATACCGCTAACTAGCATGTTCGTGTGCAGAACGTTCTTTCTGTAGGTGGGCATTCCTCCTCCTCAGCATGTCAGATCTGTGACAGCAAGTTAGAAAAGGTTCATCTTAAATGGTGCTCGTGGAAGGTTCTTCAGTTTGGGGCTATGTGTGCTGTGCTGGCTGTCAGTCAGTATGACGGTGTGAAGAGGGTGAGCCCAGACCTTGCATTGGAATATAGGAAAGTGTCATATCCTGGTTGGCATATTAGCTGTTTTCTCTTTGTAAGAAAAGGAAGTACAAGTGTTAATTGGTAGTATTCAGTGATTTCAACAAATCCTCAGCCCTCTGTTTTAAAACAATGTTGTGTGTTTTAATTAGATAGGAATTCTTCCTGAACAGTGTTGGAAAATTAACAGTGGATGAAATGGGGAACACTGCTCAGTGCATTTGTTGCTTTAAAAGATAAGTCCACCTTTCATAACATGTTACACACCTATATTCAGGGTGTAACATGTTATGAACGGACTGGCCCCCGCTCCCCATGGTGACTGCTAGCGGGGGATCTTTTCCTCCACACTAGCTATCACAATTTTAAAACAATGTTCCGCCCACCCAGCTGCATCGATCATTCTCAGTGCTCTGTGAATGAAAGAACTACAAGTACCAACACCTTTGCAGCTGTCTGTAGTTCTCCATGAACTACCATGGAGCTATGGAGCACCATGGTAGTTCATTGATTCTTCCTGCCAGTATTGGTCGGCCTGCCTTTACACGCACATGAACTTTAATGGCATCCCAGTCTTAGTACGCAGGGTTCAATACTGAGTTGGCCCACCCTTTGCAGCTATAACAGCTTCAACTCTTCTGGGAAGGCTGTCCACAAGGTTTAGGAGTGTGTCTATGGAAATGTTTGACCATTCTTCTAGAAGTACATTTGTGAGGTCAGGCACTGATGTCGGATGAGAAGGCCTGGCTTGCAGTCTCCGCTCTAATTCATCCCAAAGGTGTTCTATCAGGTTCAGGTGAGGACTCTGTGCAGGCCAGTCAAGTTCCTCCACCCCAAACCTGCTCGTCCATGTCTTTATGGACCTTTCTTTGTGCACTGGTACACAGTCATGTTGGAACAGGAAGGGGCCATCCCCAAACTGCTCCCACAAAGTTGGGAGCATGAAATTGTCCAAAATGTCTTGTTATGCTGAAACCTTACAAGTTCCCTTAACTGGAACTAAGGGGTCAAGCCAAACCCCTGAAAAAGAACCCCACACCATAATCCCCTCTCCACCAAACTTTACACTTTGCACAATGCAGTCAGGGAAGAACCATTCCCCTGGCAACTGTCAAACCCAGACACTTCCATCAGATTGCCAGACAGAGAAGCATGATTGGTCACTCCAGACAACACGTCTCCACTGCACTAGAGTCCAGTGGCGGCGTACTTTACACCACTGCATCCGACGCTTTGCATTGCACTTTGTGATATAAGGCTTGGATGCAGCTGCTCGGCCATGGAAACCAATTCCATGAAGCTCTCTACACAGTGTTGTGCCGATCTGAAGGCCACATAAAGTTTGGTGGTCTTTAGCTATTGACTCTGCAGACAGTTGTCGACTTCTGTGCACTGTGCTCTTCAGTATGCTCTGACCCAGCTCTGTCATTTGTTTTTCCCATTTGCTTCCACTTTGTTATAATCCCACTAACAGTTGACCGTGGAATATTTAGTAGCAAGGAAATTCCATGGATGGACTTATTGCACAGGTGGTAACCTATCATGGTACCACGCTTGGAGTCACGGAGCTCCTGAGAGCGACCCATTCTTTCACAAATGTTTGTAGAAGCAGTCTGCATGCCTTGGGGCTTGATTTTATACACACCTGTGGCCATGGAGGTGATTGGAACACCTGAATCCAATGATTTGGCGGGGTGTCCAAATATGGTTTGCAATACGTATCATTCACTGAGGTGGATGTAAGCAGGAAGTGGCTGCAAGTTGGAGTAAACAAAGCACTGGTTTGAGTAGAAATGAGTTGGCATTATACCAAAGCTCATCTCTACCTTTGATGATATTTGGGCCTGCTGACTGGTATGTCATATGAGGTCACTTGCTCATCCATACCCAGACACCCTACTCCATTAACAGAGGCCCCTGGCAGTGCAGGGAGTCAGCAAGTGAGTGTGATGGGTATGTACAGTAAATATGCCTTGTTGGATGGGCTATGTGCAAGCAATGTCCTGAATGGGCAATTTCATAGTGTCTCTTTAATGCAGTGTTTCTCAACTCCAGTCCTCATGGACCCCCAACAGTCATGTTTTCAGGATTTCCATTATTTTGCACAGGTGATTTGATCAGTTTCACTGCCTTAGTAATTACCACAGCTGTTTCATCTGAGGGAAATCCTGAAAACATGACCTGTTGGGGGTCCATGAGGACTGGAGTTGAGAAACACTGCTTTAATGTGACCCTATGAATTGTCCTAATGCCTATCTAGCAGGCAGAAAGTTAAATCTGCACTCTCTTGAGGAGCTCCTTCACCCTCTTTTTGCATTGACAGGTTCTCTTTATGCTCCTGTGTAGGTAGCAATTTATTTTAGTAATCCTGTGTATTGTGTAAACTGCTACATATTAAGGCGTTGCTATATAAATATAGAACTACAACTTCCAATTTTCTTTGCTCTAGATCTTATAAACAAGACCCAGAGGCTTTCTTATTTAGCCAGCACTGAGAAACAAGGCAAAACTTGCTAAATATACTCAAACTATTCTGAAATTGTTATATAACCCAGTTACCTTCGTCATATTAACAAATGTAGCAGAGGTAAGTAAGCATTCAGTGAAGAACCTGGACAAGTATAAATCTTGTCGTTTTCCTCCAGCCCCAGCCTTCTTAAAATGCACTTTGAAAACTTGCCAACTGTGACCTCTCTGTCCTCTTGTCAGATCAATTTATATGCTAGCCTGATCAGGAATCCCCATGCCAGCTACTCACACACACTATATTTAAATCTGTCTCCCCACCTACACATTGATCAATTATATATCGCGTCCATTTTCCTGAGTCACAGTGATGGGTAAAACCTTTCGTCATTGAGGGCGAATGTGTCATGTTTCTCTGTGAACTGAATTTTTTTTTTGCTTTTTCTCTGCCACAGAAGTAGATGATAACTGAATGTTACAGAAGTCTTCTGTAACACCTATAGCTCTATCTAATGTCTCTTATCCCCCCTTGAATTTCTAGTTCAAATATTTACGTTAACAATAATATATGTGCAGCACCTATAGAATATATTATATTCATGAAATACGTACATAAGAACAACAATATAAAGTAAGTAAAAAAGCAAAACAAAAATTGCAGATAGTAAAAATGAATGAAGTCCCTCCAAAAAATTATTGAATAGACCTTTAGTACTCCACAGGAGTGCCTGATGATACTGGTATCCACCCCAGGAAGATATCTCACTAAGCATTCAAAAGGCTTTATCACTGTCCACCGCCATCTTGTCAGCCTGGTGATGCCAGCCCCGGACCCCAGAACTGGAGCAAAACAAGCTCTACTTTAGCGCAGTTTTTTTTACTATTTGGATCAAATATATACATTCCAAGGATTATTTAGAACTTGATGGCTGATTCTTTTGGCCTCATGTGCAGCTCATAAATGCCTGTTTTAGATGCATGTTATGCTTTTTTGTTTCTCTCTCTTTCCCTCTCTCTCTCTCTCTCTCGCTCTCTCCTCGCTCTCTCTTCTCTCTCACTCCTCTTCTCTCTCCCTCTCTCTTCTCTCTCCCTCTCTCTCTCTTCTCTCCGCTCCCCCTCCTTCTCTCCCTCCTTCTCTCCCTCCCTCCCTCCTCTCCTTCTCTCCTCCTTCTCCCTCCTTCTCCTCTCCTTCTCTCTCTCCTTCTCTCTCTCCTTCTCCTCTCTCTCTCCTTCTCCTTCTCTCTCTCCTTCTCCTCTCTCTCTCCTTCTCTCTCTCTCCCTTCTCCTTCTCTCTCTCCTTCTCCTTCTCTCCCTCCTTCTCCTTCTCTTCCCTCCCTTCTCCTCTCTCTCCTTCTCTCCTCCTTCCCTCTCTCTCCTCTCCTTCTCTCCCCTTCTCCTGTCCCTCCTCTCCCCTTCTCCTTCTCTCTCCCCTTCTCCTTCTCTCTCCCTCTCCTCCTCTCCTTCTCTCTCTCCTTCTCCTTCTCTCTCTCCTTCTCCTTCTCTCTCTCCTTCTCCCTCTCTCTCTCCTTCTCCTTCTCCTCTCCTTCTCCCTCTCTCCTCTCTCTCCCCCTCTCTCCTCTCCCCCCTCTCTCTCCCCCCCCCCTCTCCTCCCCATCTCTCTCCCCCCCTCTCCCTATCTCCCCCCCCCTCCCCCCCCCCTCTCTCCCTCTCCTCCCTCCCCCCCCACCTCCTCTCTCCCCCCACGTCTCTCTTTCTCCGACCCACCCTCTCTCTCCCTCTCTCTTTCCCCCTCCCCTCTCTCCCCCCCTCTCTCCTCCCCCCCCCTCTCTCTCTCCCCCCCTCTCTCTGTCTCCCCTCTCTCACCCCCCCTCTCTCCCCACTCCCCCCCCCTGTCCCCCCCTCTCTCCCACTCACCCCCCCCCCCTCCCCCCACTCACCACCATCCCCCCACCCCTCTCTCTCTCTCGCCCCCCTCCTCTCCCCCACTCACTCTCCCCCCCTCCCCCCTTTCTTCTCTCGCCCCCTCTCCCTCCCCCCATCCACCCCCTCTCTCCTCCCCCCATCCACCCCCTCTCTCTCCCCCCTCCCCTCTCTCCCCCTCCCCCTCTCTCCCCCCCCTCCTCCCTCTCTCCCCCTCTCTCCCCCCCCCTCTCTCTCTCCCCCCCTCTCCCCCCCCTCTCTCCCCCCCCTCTCTCTCTCCCCCCCTCTCTCTCCTCCCCTCTCTCCCCCCCCCCTCTCCCTCTCTCCCCTCTTCCCCTCTCCCCCCCCTCCCCCCTCTCTCCCCCCCTCTCCCCCTCTCCCCCTCTCCCCCCCTCTCCCCTCTCCCCCTCTCTCCCCTCCCTCCCCTCTCTCTCCTCCCTCCCCTCTCTCTCCCCCCTCCCCTCTCTCTCCCCTCCCCTCTCTCTCCCCCTCCCCTCTTCCCTACTCTCTCTCTCCTCCCCCCCCTCTCTCTCCCCCCCCTCTCTCTCCCCCCCCTCCTCTCCCTCCTCTCTCTCCTCCTCTCTCTCCTTCTGCCTCTCTCTCTCTCCTTCTGCCTCTCTCTCTCTCCTTCTGCCTCTCTCTCCTTCTTGCCTCTCTCTCCTCCTCTCTCGCTCTCCTTCCCTTCTCTCTCTCCTGTTCTCCCTCTCTCTCTCTGTGGGCAATACGATAGTGTCTCTTTAAAGTGATTATAAAGGCTTTATTTTATTTTTTAATGACAAACAGGTTTATACTTACATGCCCTATGCAGTGGAACTGCACAGAGCAACCCTTAATCTTCTCTTTTTGGGTCTCCCACTGGTGCTTCTGGCTCCTCCCTCTTCTCTGTGTGTCACCATAGGAAGCCACTTCCTATTGTGGCACACTTGTGTGCTCGATCCTGAGCTCCGCTACCTTTGCCCAGCCCCCCCATAACAGGATTTGACTGACAGCAGCGGGAACCAATGGCTCCAGCTGCTCTCAGCAAAGCCTGTGAGAGCAGGGAGAAGAGGAGAGAGCCACTGCAGATGAGCCATGCACTGGAGTGAGGACTCAGGTAAGCATATGGGGGAGTGAGGGGAGTGAAAGTTTAAGCTAAACATTTTTTTTTTTTACCTTAAATCATTAACCACTTGCTTTCCAGAGGATTTACCCCCCTTCCTGACCAGGCCATTTTTTGTATTACAGCACTGTGTTACTTTAGCTGACAATAGCGCGGTCATGCAATGCTGCACCCAAATGAAATTTACATCTTTTTTTCCCATGAATAGAGCTTTCTTTCGGTGATATTTCGCATGTGCATTTTTTATTGTTTTTGTGTTTTAAAAAAAAAAAAAAAAAACATTTTGAGAAAAAAAAAAAAACAATATTTTTTGACTGCATGCATTAAGGTATAAACATGTTTTGACTTTACAACCACTTTAAGTACACCATAAAAAACACCAGCACTTTCTCTATATATACTAAAAATAAAATGCGATCTGGAGCACCATTATTGATATGCCTCCATCCCTATAACATATATGTATAAAAATTCTAATAGGTCCTGGGACTTTAAATGAGGCAATGCGCCTAAACTCATGGTAATAAAACTAAATGACCTCTTTAAAGAGCTGTTTAAGGGTAACAATAAGCTGATTTATATAGGATAAATAGAATAAAATAATATGCATTCATACAAATTCATACTATAGTTTTACATATATATTTTAAGTATTTGGTACATGATGATAATACATATAATACCTAAAGACACATTGCATCCAAGACCTTGACACGTTTTGTGGATCTCTGTCCACTTCCTCAGGAGTAGCTGCATGGTACATATCTATAACGGTAAATTAATAATAATAATAATAGTGTTAAACAGGGGCGGACTGACAGCTCATGGGGCCCCCGGGCAATTGGGGATCATGGGGCCCCTGTGTCCTTGCCCAAACTCAAAAAAGCCTATGAAAAAGGTACCAGGGTCATCTCATGGGCCCCCTACTGACCCCGGGCCCTAGGGCAGTGCCGAGTTTCCAAATGGTCAGTCCGCCCCTGGTGTTAAATCAATACATAGTACCTCAAATATGATGGATATCCCTAAGTTTCTCTATTAAAAAAAATTCTTACTTTTTTTATAGGATTGCCATGCTTGAGAGAACCAATAATTGTGTTCTGGCTTCCTGATAAGGACAAAGGTTGTGGCCTGTGAGACTTCCCTCATTCTTGCGTGTTTTGGCAGCTTGCTGTTCTAGAT